AGGAGACGGAAGCCACGGCAGCTCGGCTGGCCCGCCCGCCAGGAGTCAGGGTGCCCGGTGTCCCTTCTGGGGGACCTGGTTCTGACTCCGCTGGAATAAAGCACGGCGGCCCGCGCCCTGGGCAGGAGGAGCTGCACGAGCCTGCGCCCCGCCCTGCGGCCCCAGGGCGCGGGAATCGTGCCGGGAGCTTCGGCGTTGTCACCGCGGAAAGCCATTCTTCCGATGGGCCACAGGGGTGCGCTCTGAGACCGGGATAGGTGACTTGAAACGCTTGCAGATGTGCGCCCGGTGCAATAACGCGAAAGACAGTGTGAGAAAGAATTCATCATCGGACTTGTACTGTGACCGATTGTCTCATCTTTGACAGCACTGTCCAATTTTCCAATATCCACTGTCAGCACTGAACAATTTCGTAAACTGCATTTCAATCCTCCCAAATAATAATACAATTTTGATATGTAAACAGCAGTTTTAACGTTCTGCGGGAAACAGACCAACCAGAACAGGTAAAACAAATTGATGGCCCAGCAACCGGCGGTACTGGCTCATCCCCCATACCCACCCACAACCACTTCTCCTCTAGAAATAATAGTAGCAATAATTATACAAGATACATTTCCGGAGAGGTTACCATGTGTCATTGCTTTGGGTACTTTACATGAATGCACTAATTTTATCTTCACCAGTAACACTATGAGGCTGGTACTGTTATGCGATGAACAGCATGATGAGGAAACTGGGGCACAGAGGGCTTAGTAACGTGCCCCAGATGACAGGGCTGGCAAGTAGCAGAAATCATGGAAGAACAGTACAACACTCCAAGCATCCTGGGAGTCACAGCTGCTGGAAGGAGGCGCTTTGAGATGACTTAGCCATCCTGGTACTGCAAGAAAATAAGGCACTGTGCACACAGCTGTTGTTTCTTCAAAAATGCAAAATCTACCGAGAGCACCAAGGATGATAAAATTAAAAACATTAGCAAGAAAGAAAAAAGCACACAGGAAATATTTTAATATGTGGTATTTGTTTCATTTATGAATTCTTCCAGAGCATTATACCAGGTAGTTTTGACAAACGTCTAGTATTGCAAAACTACTCTGGATCTAGCTGCTAATTACCACTGTAGGACCTAGACTTGAACAGTGCCTGAGACAAAATTGAGCCCTGGGTTTTCAAGTTTTCAATCCTTGCTGTGCATTAAAATCACTTGGCGTTTAAAAAAAAAAAAAGGTGTTTTCTGGGCCCCACCCCACACTAATTTAATCAGAATCTCAAAGAAGGGGCCCAGACACCTGTTTGTTTATTTTTGTTATGTTTTTGTGATTCTAGTGTTCAGCCAGCATTGAGAACCAACCTCCTTGTTATATAGATGAGGAAACTGAGAGGAACCATGATTTGCCAAAGACTGAAAGTTAGGCAAGTGTGTGTTCACGGGTGGGAGGAACCAGGTGTGCTGATTTCTATCCAGACCTAGACCAGACTGGACCACCCCACAAGGAGACAGGACATGAGGGCCCCTGGGGTGCACACTCACTCAAAGCTGCCTCTTCTCCCAGCCCACCTTGGTCTGAGCTGGCTGGTGGCCAGTGCTCTTTCCCCAGCACAATTCGGCACAGAGAGAAATTATTCTATTTTAATTTAATACAGTTATGTTTGGGGAGGGGCGGAAATGTAACTGAGAGAAATGTCTGTGGGATTATCTTGTCCCTCATCCTTGCCAGTAGACACAGGACTATTTGGACCATGTCTGCAGCTCAGGCAGGCATTCATCTGATGGAGATTTATGAAGCTCCTCCTGTGTGTCGGGTGTGGTGGTGGCTTCCCCAGGCATGGACCTCCACCGAGATGGAAGCCAGCAGCCTTCTCGGCCTTTCTGAGGCCATACTCCCCAACCTTGCAAGGGTCTAGCCAAGGTTATTCTTAAACCAAATGGTTTGGAGAATGGAATCAAATGAATCTGGAATCTGTTGCTTTGGCAAATCTGCTGAACCGCCTTCCATTGCCTTAGAATTTAACTGATTTGAACTGCAGGAAGCCTGTTGGAGAAAATAGACCCACGGGAGAAGAGGGAGAAGTCGTGCTTGCCTGTGTAATGTAAGCATCTTGTCCTGCCCTGCCCCCCAACCCGCCCTGCCCTTGGCTCGTGGCCCCACTGTGTCTGTGAGGTTGGGCTGCCCACACATTTGACTCTATTTCCTTGGCGTGCCCTCCCATCTCCAGCCAGGCAACAGTCCTCGCTGTTTTCCTTGCCTCTTGCTCTCCTCAAACTTCACTGGGCCAACTGCCTAATGCACAGGCAGGAGCATGTCCCTCTTCTACATAAAGCCTTCAAAACCCACCTGGGTATCCTTAATAAATATGGACTCCCTGCTCTGCCCTGAGGCCCTGCAGAAGGGGCTCTGTCAGGGTCCCCAGCCTTACGCCCTCCTCCCCTCTGCTCCCCATCCAGGGGCCTGCCCCACATGTCTGACCTCCCCCTCCTGCCCGTTTCCATCCTTGGCTCGTGCTCGTCTTGCACACGTCTCTAGTGCCTCCCCTTCAAGGCCCAGATGGAATGTAGCCTTCCCTGAGGCCTGCACTGGCCTGGGCCGCACCCCCTCTGACTTCCATGGCACCTGAACACGCCGCCCTCCTTGTGCTCTACGCCTTTATCTGATCTCTCCCCCAGACCCCGAGCTCCAAGGGAGCCTGCTATACATCTGATTCATTTGTCCCCTCCCACCCCAGCCCTTCCTCCAGGCCAGTCCACACTGTAGCTGGGGAAGCAGGTAGGAGGCTGCGGCATGGTTCAGTCCGGGGAGACAGAGTCTGGGGATGGGAAGGAGGGTTGGATAGGGGACACTCAAAAGTTGAAAGCCTGAGCACTCGTTGAGTAGTTGGCCATGAGGACTAGGGGGAGGAGAGATGGGAGAACACTCCCAGCCCCCAAGCTTGCCAAGATGCTGGAAGGGAATCCAGGAGGAGTTGGGGACAGAGCTTGGTTAGGACATATTGGTAGCTGATGGTAGAACACAGGGCGCGGAGCTGAAAAGAGCTGAGCCTAGGATGGAGATGTGAGGTTGTCCACCTACAGGTAGCATCTGACTCCAGGCATGCATGAGATGGCCTGGGAGGTGGGTGACAATGGGCCCTGAGGAGACCAGCATGCCAGAGGTGGCCAAGGCTGGATGAGTGGGCAGTGTCCTGAAAACCAAGAAGAGCCTTTCAGTGAATGAGCAAACCACAGAGCCGGGTGCTGGGAGAAGGCTGAGGACTAAAGCATGCTGTCCAGCCCACCCAGCTCTCCTTCCTCCCTCTCCCCTCAGCCTTTCCTTCTCCTTAGGGAGCAGCCACCTTGTGTGCTGAACAGGCAAATCCAGCTCCCCTCTGGGTGCTTTGTGTCATGAAAGCCCCACTGGGGTTTGCCCTCCCCAGGCACCATCTCCTCTTGACTTCCCCGGGAGGCAGCACTGGAGGTGGCACTGATGACAGGATTTACACACACACACATCACAGCCCTGCCCGTGATCTTTCTGGTTGCCTCTGCTTCTAACACCTCCTTGTTTTTCTATATACTCATTAAAAACAAAATCCCAGGGAGAGAAATCGAAACAGATATTTGGCCTTTGAACTGGAAGTCAGAAGGGGGTGGCCTCACTTTGGGTGATTGGACTGGTGGTGACTGTACCTCAGGGTTAGAACTCCAGGGTGGGAGCAAGAGTGGGATGTGTATTAAACAATGGGAAAACACTGGGTCCGGGGAGGGTGGGTGTGCTACTTTATTCTCCAGACATGGTGCAGCTTGGAAGGACTTTGCCAAGCATGACGATGGCCTCATTAGGTCTCAGACTCTGAAGGATGAGGGAGGCAGGAGAGGAGGAGGACAGCAGGTGGTGGAAGAGGACTGACTCCACCCCCCCACCTTGGATTGGAAACCACGTCCTCTGCATCTGAAAAGCCAAGGCTTCGGACCCCTGGACCCCAGCTGTCACCTGGTCAGGCCCAGAGGCCGTCTGCAGACACCTGGCTCTGTACACCTGCAGCTAGGGCCCTGCTACCCGAGCCCCAATAGACAGAATGACCCGCACAGAGCCGCAGCTTGACCTCAAGTCCCATTCCCGACTGGCATTGTACGTCAGTCCCGGGGAGCCCGAGCCCCGCCCCGGAGACAGGTGCATATTCAGCCAGCGGCACTGGGCCTCATCACAGGCGAGCACCACAGTGCCCTCAGGGTTGCTGTAGGTACACGGGCTCGGGGCTGCTCTTCCCTCCACAGCCAGATCCCAGATGTCCCCTGGCTCCGCATTGTCCAGCCCCTGGGCCTGGAAGCCCAAGCGTTCCCAGGTGACGGGGCACACCAGCTGCTCCTCCTTCAGGGCGGGCACCACCTGGCCCTTGAGGTGGGCAGGGCCTGCACAGTAGGTCTGGATGTTGAAGAGCCAGTCGCTGTACTGGTGCAGCCAGCTAAAGAGGTAGGCCAGGTGGCAGTCACACTGCCAGGGGTTGCCGTGCAGGGCCAGGTTGAACAGGTTGTAGTTGGTGTCAAAGATGCCCTCTGGGAGTGTGGTCAGCTGGTTCCTGGAGAGGCTAAGCAGCTCAAGCCTGGACAGGTTCTGGAAGAGGGCTGGGTGCAAGGCCGTCAGGTTGTTGCTGCCCAGGTACAGCTGGACCAACTCCTCGAGGTCCCTGAAGGTGCTGGCTGGGAGGTGGGTGATGGCGTTGTGCGAGAGTGTGAGGAAACTGAGGCTGGATAGGTTGGCAAAGGCACCCTCAGTGATGGTCTCCAGCTGGTTGTAGGATAGGGAAAGGCTGACCAGGCCTGGGGTGTGGGTGAAGAGACCAGCAGGCAGCATCCTCAGTACGTTACCCTGCAAGTTCAGGAAGGTCAGATTGCCCAGGGAGGAGAAAACAGAGAGCGGCAGGTGCCCGATGGTGTTGTGCTGCAGCCACAGCTTCTCCAGGCAGAAGAGCTGTGAGAACACCTCTGGGGGCAGCTCTGAGATCGCATTGCCATCCAGGAAGAGTTCCTGCAGGCTGCGCAGTTTGCTAAACATGCCATGTGGAAGGCTGGAGAGCGCGTTATCGCTCAGCCTCAGGGTTTGCAGGCTGGTGAGAGGGTGGAACAGCTCCTCAGGGAGCTGGGCCAGAAGGTTCTGAGCCAGGTTGAGGGTTTTCAGGTGGGTCAGAGGCTGGAAGAGCTTCCCAGGCAGGGTCTGGAGCCGGTTCCCCTGCAGCTCGAGAGACTCCAGGCCATCCATGTGGTGGAAGAGGCCCTCTGGCAAAGCCTCCAGCATGTCGAAGTTGAGGGTGAACTTGCCCAATGAGGTCACGTTAGAGAAGACATCAGTGCTGAGGTTGAAGGAGGTGCTGCCTGTGATCTCCAGGTCCCCCAGCCTGGGCAGCCCCCCAAAAGCATCTGGCCCAAAGTGGCGGAGCTGGGTGTTGAGGAAGACCACCTTGGTCAGGTTGGGGCTGCTGCTGAATGCCCTGGTTCCCAGCGTGGTGAACGAGGTCTGCACAAAGACAATGTCTGTGGCGTGCAGTGGGATGTCTGGAGGGATGGCAGCCAGCTTCTCATCTGAGCAGAATACCTCCTGGCTGAAGCAGTCACATCCCACAGGGCAGAGCTCAGTAGGCCTGGCCAAGAGCAGGAGGGAGCCCCAGCACAACCAGGTTCCACGGAACATCTCCTAGATTCAGGGAGGAAGAGAAAACAGAAAAGGCAGCTTTGTCAAGGGCAGCCTGTCACAGTGGCCAGAGCGCTGGACCACAAGCCCGAAGATGGGATCAGGCTGTGACCGAGGATTAGCCTCAGCAGTGGGGCCACCTGTTTTGGTAGTAGTTCACATTTGTAATAGCTATTTTCATAGCAGCCTTGCAGGACAGATGGGGCCAGGGCTATCACCTCCAGCTCTGAAGATGTCACATGGCCTGTCCACAGTCACCCTATAAGTTAGTGGCAGTGGCAGGACCGAGACCCATGTCTTTTGAACTCTCTATGTTCTTTCCAGATTGGGGAAAGAAGTGAAAAGGAAACAGAAAGGCATGGAAGAGACGTGTAAAAGGAGACAATGGGTACAGTAGAATTTTTCAAGATAATATGTAAAATTTGGACAGATTATTCCTGAGTTGGAAATTTCTAAATTCTAACTCTTCCTGAGCTTCCAAATCTCAGCACACTTCCGAGCCTAATTATGAGGAGATGCTACCATCTGCTCGTTGCACTATCTGCTGAGGGTGAGCACAGCCTCAGGGACAAGACGGGTTCCTCAGTATTGCTGCCGAAACACTCTCCTCCTCCCCACTCCCACACCACCACGATGGAGCCCATGGAAATTTCCAACCTTGTGCAGGCAGGAGGGTCTCAGACTCCACGATTCTACAGGCCAGTAGAATTTTTATAGTAAGGGGAAAGGACCAAGCTTTTAGCTTGCTAACTATTAATTTAAAAAGAAAAAAAAAACCTGCCAGCATCTATCCTACAGGACTCAAATTGATGGTGCAGCTTATGTGAGTTGTTTATTCTTCAGTGTTTTTTTTATATATGAATCAGTAGCCAACATGTAAAAATTTGGATACGTCACATTCAAAGCACAGATTTAGAATGATGTGGGGACACAACTTCCAGGCAAGATAGTGGAATAGACAGTCCCCAGTGTCACTCTGTCCCACAAATCAACCAATTTACAACTATAAAAAAGCAACAATAGCCAAGCTGGGTCCTCCAGAGCTCAAGGGAAAAGGAAGAGAGACCTACAGAGTTCATGAAGTCAGGAGAAGTCACAATGAGAGGAAGAAGACACTGCTCCGACTGTTTCAAATCCCAGCCACTCCCAGGCTGGAGCTTCTAAGTGCAAGGAGCAGGAACTGGCAGAAGCCGCAGCTGTGCCCTTCAGATGGAGTTACTTGGAGGCAGCAGGGGAGAAGAGGGCCTTAGTGGCCCCCAGGCCAGCAAGACCACTAACAGTGTTCCCATGGACCCACATAGGAGCAAGGAACCACAACAACTGAAAAAAGGGAGCCAATCAGAGGCTAGTGAGTCACTGCAAGGGACCATCCCATGGGAAGTGTTCGCAGCAGGGGTGGTGGGGGAGACAGGCCCACTGGAGGAACACTGGAGCACAGCAAGGACAGCTGATCTGCACCCCAATCAGCATAGGACCACTCAGAGGAGACTGGTCAGGGATATAGAATTGCATGGAGTGCAGTATGATGAAAAGACTCAGGCCCAGACCAGAGTTTCTACACAACCCAGGTGCACCAGATTTCACTAGACCCAGCAGTACCTATAAAGTCAATCATTAAAATCTGAGCTGCACAAAAAGCCTTCCCTAGGGAATCAGCAGCAAAGCAGCAATTTAGCTCAACTACACAGCTCAAGTACTGATCCCACAGGAAGTTCCCCCATTTTAGAAGTAAGCAAAGAACAACAAATTAGTTCTAGTGCAGAATTTAAGTGGTGGGAACAGCAAATAATCCAACACAAAACTGAAAGAAAAAGCAAAGTACCCTCAACCAGAGGCAAAGTTTGATATTAACTAGTAAAGGTCTCATTTCACCAAAGAACACCTGTAGCCTAGAAGAACCAGAACTCTCCCAAGCTACCAAGCCAGAAAGTGGGGAGGGCCAGAGGCCTCAGCAATGCCCCCGACACCTGCAACCAGTCCCAAGGGTGGGGGATAAGGGCCTCAGTCACACGCCCCTGACATGCACAGCCAGCCCAGTGAAGACCCCTGAGCTGCCACAGGAAGTGCCCCAGGCTCTCCTGAGCCAGGATAGTGAGGGGCCAAGGGCCATGGCCATGTCCCCCTAACACCTGCAACCAGACCAGCAGCAACACTGAGCTACCTCAAAAAGGACCCCGGGTTCCCAAGCTGGGGTGGTGGAGGCGAGGGCTTTTGCCACATCCCCCTGACATCTACACCCAGCTGGAAAATGACCAAGCCACCACTGGAAGCCCCCTGGTCTCCCCTGTGGGAATGAGGGGGTGCCACAGGCCTCAATCCCACCCTTCCTTCTTCCATCACATTTCCTTAATAGCCCCTGCCATATTAGAGGATGTGCATTCTCAGGCCCCTGCTGTTCCCACTCACGTCACTTATTTACATGGCTTGGAGTGGCTCGAATTCCATGAGTTCAGATCCCAGGTCCATCACTTTGTAGCCATGTGACCTTGGGAATGTTACTTAATCTATCTGTACTTCAATTCCTTATCTGTAAAATGGGAATGACAATGCCTACCACGGTAGTGTAAATATAAGGATTAAATGAGTAAATATAGGTAAAGGTTTTAGATCATGGTTCAACAAAGAGTAAGTAATTAATAAACTATGTTATCTATTATTAAAGGTTTCAAGCTGCCATCATTACAGATAAGGTTCTTTGAACACCAAAAAAGTAGGAAAAACAAAATGCTCTTTAGATAGAATACATTTGAATTTTCCAAAAATTAAAATAAGAAAGAAAACCCTCTTGCTACATAATTCTAATTTTTCTCAGTTTACCTCTCCTCGGTAAGAGTTTGCAGTAGGTCCGCGCTGGGAGTCTTGGCCCCAGCGCCCTTTGCTGGTTGTCTCTCTGCTGCCCTCTGCTGGCAGCCTACTCCATCTCACATTCCGGTTCCCACTGAGTCTCCACACCCAAAAGGTCTCCCATGAAACAGGATGCTTACAAAAGCCCCCTTTGCCCTCCTCCCACTCAGATTCTCAATAAGCCTCAGTTTCCCCCGGAATTTTCTGTTTAATTAGAAAATAGAGAACAGTTTCTTCCTGAGAAAATGCACACCTCCCTCCAGGCTCCTCTGCAGATGCTCACCGACAGTATAGTCCCCCAAATGATGAGTTTTCATGGCTGTCCCTTTTCTGAGAAGACAAGTGTACTCATCTCTCTATGCCCAGCATCCAGCACGGTATTGACTTCCTGTGTGCTCAGTTAGGATTTGCTGAAGGGAACTCTCCAAGGCTGGGATGAGCAGCTTGGGGAGCAGCTTCCCTTCCCAGGATGGGTCAGCCCAGACCGAATGACCACCAGCCAGGCCGCGAGAGCAGCCTCAAATCCTCCTGAGAGGAAGAGGGAGCGATTCTTATTTCCAACATTCCATACTATTATCAATGGACCAGTCACCCTTCCCTGCCAGGCCCTCTGACCATTGGTTCTCAAAGGCAGTTTCCAGAAAAAATTCTACTGGAATGATGGCCCATACAGCACTGGGAAGTAAAGGCCCAGAGACCCTCTGACCAGCCTCTTCACAGAGAGAGCAAGTCCAGCGCCTGGGGGCTCCACAGCAGGGCTTAGGCTGGAGAACCCAGATCTCCTGGTTTTCTCAGTTGCTCCGGCCAGGAAACCTGGGACCAAAGCCAGAGGTGCACGTGGAGAAAAGCTCAAGCCTCCTGGGGAGAGTGTGCCTGTCTACTGAGCCAATCGGAAACTGTGTCCTCTGTTCCCTTTGGCCTCTGCCTCTAACTTTTAATCCATTGTCACTTGGAAATAATCTGCTTTAGAAGTTTTCAACAAAGAATGCTGCTCTGGAATTCAGTCCTTGAATCAAAACTATGGCATTGGTGGCACAGAAAATCAAGTGTGGACAAATCAGCTTAGGCTTGGCTGATGATGGGTGGGGGTGGGGGGAGGGGTACCTCTCTGTTGTGGGGACTGAGTTGAGGGGCTATTTTCACTTGCCAGTTCCCAAAGCTCTCACACATACATCTTGATCTTCAGAGCAAACCTGTAAGTGCCCAGGACAGGGAAACTGAGGCTCCCAAAGCTACAGCGACTGGCCCAAAGACACACAAGCTCAGAAGTAAGGGGCCAGAATCAGTCCAATGGTCTGAGCTCTAAGCAGGGTGCTTGTTGCAACACCATGAGGCTTCCATACCAAGGCAGTGGAATGGGTGGAGTTGGGTAGGTCCACTCCTTACATTTGCAGGTCTTAGGGTGAACGTATACTAGGGGACCAAGCCCACTGTCCATCCACTGCTCTTCCCACCTGATTCCTGTACTGTGAGTAAAGACTCCACCCACAGCTGCCCCCTGGGCACCCACAGGCCTGAACTATACACCTCTGTAGAATGGTCAGCCTAGGGAAGATGGACCTGGGGAAACGAGCCACACAGGCAGAGGTCCTGGGTACCTAAAGCATGGTTTAAAATGGGGAAGTGGGGACACAACCTCCAGATGGGCCTGTGCCCTCAGTCTTGCAAACTTCTCACTCCTTGGGGGTGTCACAGGGGGAGAAGGGCCAGAACAGGGCCCTCTAAAGTTTAGGGCAAGACCCTTCTTGCTGCAGTCTACTGGCGCAGGGGGTGGGGAGCAAGGGACGGTGAGGGTGTGGAACACTGATAATTTCCAAAATACCCACTCCCAGTTCAAGACTCATTCTCACATCACTCAGGAGTGGCTAAGAGTTTGCGCTCCGGAGTGAGACACTCTGCGTTCAAACCCGTCTCCATCCCTGATTAGCTGGCCTTGACTGAGTTACTTAACTTGTCTGAGCTTCACTTTCCTCATCTTCAAAACAGTGAGCACAATATTATCTCCTCATGGGGTTGTTGTGAGGATTGAATGAGAAAACACGTGGAAAGCTCCAAGCCCAGGGCATGGCACACAGTGGGCGCTCAGCAACTTTAGTGACCCTGATTATTCTGATTTCTGCCCAGTACCAGCTCTGCTCTGAAGTAGTCACAGAGGT